TGGCGAAATCGAGTTCTGATTTTGCCACTTGCTCGGGTAATTGATTGCACCATTCTGACTCTCAGTTTCCTCTTTTGTGAAATGGAGATAATGATAGCAACACCTTGGAGTTATGACGATCTACAATGGTGCCAGCATGCAGTTAGTAACCACTGTCAAAACAGTAGTCATTATTGTTGGGTTTATTTTATTTTATTTTGAGATACAGTCTAGCTCTTTTACCCAGGGTAGAGTGCAGTGGCATCATTATAGCTCACAGCAACCTCAAACTCCTGGGCTCAAGCAATCCTCCTGCCTCAGCCTCCCAAGTAGCTGGGACTACAGACACCACCACGCCTGGTTAATTTTAAAAATTTTTTTAGAGATGGGGTCTTGCTCTTGCTAAGGGTCTTGAACTCCTGGCCTCAAGTAATCCTACCGCCTCAGCCTCTCAGAGTGCTAGGATTACAGGCATGAGCCACTGCACCCAGCCTTGGGTTTATTATTATTATGTTTTTTTTAGAGATGGGGGTCTTGCTATATTGCCAAAGCTGGTCTCAAACTCTTGGGCTCAAGTGATCCTCCTGTCTCAGCCTCCTGAGTAGCTGGGCATACAGGCACACGACACTATGTCCAGCTATTGGGACTGTCATAAATCTGCAGGTTTGGACCCAGTCACTAACTGGGTCTCATCTTCTACTGACGCCTCCTTCACTCACTCCATTCAGGGGACTCTGGCCTCTACACCCACCTCAGGGTCTTCGTCCTTCTCTTTGCTCCTCCTGAAGCACTTTCTCACCAACATGCTTGTGGCTTGCTCCCTTATCGTATTGTTCAGGATTCTTGTCAGTCATAAGCAGAAGCAGTCTGAAGGCGATGATGGGGTCTCCTGTCTTTGGGGGCAGCCTGTGTCCGCTGATGCTAAGCATCCCAGAGGGAGGAGGGAGGGACGCTGGAGGGAGCAGTGAGGGGCGTGAGGAGGAGAGATGCCCTGAGACGGGGACCCAGAGGAGTCTGTCTGTGCAGAGAGCCTTGGGGACTGAGCCCTGCCTTCCGGGAATGTTCCTGGAACGTGGCAAGACCTCAGGGAATGCCGCTCCCAGGGAGACCGGCTACCCAAGGCCTGCCCAGGATCCCCAGGCCCCAGGTGTGGCCTGCAAGCGGCAGAACCACTGGAATGGAAAGCACCGTGGAGACCGAAGCAGAGGGTACCCTGGTGGCAGCCAAGTGACCAGTGTTTGGGAAGACACTCTCTAATGCCTAACTTTGACATGAAACTCTAGTTCCTCTGCGTCAGCCAGAGTAACTGAGGTTAAACTTCCTGCCTGTTCACAGGGATGGGAGCTCAGAGCCAGAGGGATTTTGACTGCCTACAGTTGACCCTTGAGCAATGCAAGAGTTAGGGATCCAGCCCTTCACACGGTTGAAAATCCCCATAGGACTTTTGACTCCCCCAAAACTTAACTACCAATAGCCTTCTGTTAACCGGAAGCCTTACCGATAACATAAAAAAGCCAATTAATACGTGTTTTGTATGTTTTATGTATTATATACTGTGTTCTTACAATAAATAAGCTAGAGGAAAGACAATGTTATTAAGAAAATCCTAAGGAAGAGAAAATACATTTACTATTCCTTACATGCAAGTGGATCATCATAAAGGTCTTCATCCTCCTCATCTTCACGTTGAGTAGGCTGAGGAAGAGGAGGAAGAGGAAGGGTTGGTCTTGCTGTCTCAGGGGTGGCAGAGACGGAAGAGGTGGAGGAGGTGAATGGAGAGGCAGGAGAGGCAGGCCCACTCAGTGTATCTTTTATTCAAAAAATTCCACGTGTAAGTGGACCCACAGAATTCAAATTCATGTCGTTCAAGGTCAACTGTAATGCCAATTTATAACTCTTAATATAAAATATAGAAAGTGATGTTTCTTTCACCTCTGAGTTTTGAGTTCACAATTATGCATAAAACAGATCTTTATTCCTGAGTTCATCCTTGCCCATTGTAACTTGGGAGAAGCTATTTACTGGTAAGGTTGCCGAGTAGACACCTTCCATCTCTACTCTTCCCTGCCCCTTCCTTCTTCACCCTGCCCTCTTCCCTACCACTTCAGGCACTAGAAGCAAGTTCCCTTCTCAGATTACACTGTTGAGTTGCTCACCTGCCTGCAACGAGGCTTGGTTACTGGGGCATTCGGTCACATATGTCAATGAGTTGCATCTCCCCTTCCAAACTATGAGACGGACCTCGAGCAAGAAATAAACTTTTGTTGCTTTAAACGAGTGAGATTTGGGCATGTTTGCTATCACAGCCTCAACTACCCTGTTCTGAAAGATACCCACACCCAACCCTCTGAAGACACTGTTGCCAAACTGTTGAAACCAAAGGAAACATTCAAAACATTGGAACTGGCGTATCTTTACAGACAAAATATTTTGCCTTAGCAAACATGTGGAGAGGCAAGTGGATGTTGCTGTATTTAGAGCATGAAGCAAATGTATGTTTTGAAGGTTTCAGACAGATAAACATGCTCAGAGATACGTTCAAAATGTTCCACCTATTGCCTAGTTATAAGCAGTATAAAAGTTGGCAGTTTCCTTTTGCAAGTTGTACATACACACACACACACACACACATATAGTCTAGCTAAGAGTTTTTTTAGTTTTTGGTTGCAAGAAAGAGTATTTGAACAAATTCACAGAGTTAAGAGTTACCAAGCTATGACATGATGAAGGCAAGATACAGACCTAGGTCTTTGGACTCCATGTCAC